CGGCCATAACTGACTTTTTAGTATACTTCATGAAGGAATTTGAATAGCAGCAGATATACTGTTGAGACTTGATGCATATTATTGTTTCTCATTGTTTCAATTTACTTTTGTTTTAAATCCAGTAATAGCCTATAATGAAATAAAATGGACCATATTTTCTCAGGTGAATTGGCTACTTGTTCTCTGAGTAAACATTTGATTCTACATTTTTCTTTAGGAGCTTTTAGATAAAATTTAGAAAATAACTGTTGTGATATGCGGAGGATGACCTATAAAAGTCAACCTCAGCCCCATGGATAGACCTTAAATTTCTATTTTATTCCTTTGAAAGAAGACATCATAAATTACTTTCTAAATACATTTTCAAGGGAAATGTAATATTGGCTATTAATGCCTTACCTCAAAATGTTTTTCATAGCGGCTGGCAAGAGATCGGGGGAACACAACAAAGAGTAGCCACATTTTGTGTGAGGAGAGGTAATGGAATGGTAAGCCAGTCTTGGGTGGGGTATAAGAATAGGAAATAAGTGAGTATGATCAGACCATTAGGTTTCTGGTAGGTTGTTGATGGTGTTGGGGGTAAGATGCCTAGCCAAAAAGACAAGCAAGTAAAAAATAAATGAGGAAGACACATTTGCTGACTTCTTAAGTTTACATAATTTAGAAGTTAACATCCTGATATGATAATTTATTTTATAGCATCTAGTCCAGTGTCTCTTTGAAATGAAAAAGAAGATTAAATGGCAGAAATTATTAAGATGATTATTTCAAAGCTCCTATCTCCCTAACAACTACTACTCTGCAATTGGGAAATTTAAATGCTTTGTGCCTGTGGTATGACGTGCCTTAACTTATTTTGCATGGAGCAGTCCAAGAAAAATATGTCTTTGTTAAATAATAAGAAATCTATTTGAAGCCTTTTAAAAAACATATTGAACCTATATTTATTGAAGTGTAATAACTAGTACACCCAAATTTGCCAGGGAATTGTGGATGAGAACTTATAAAATACTTCAAGAAGATTATTTGTGTTGAAAATTGTCCCAGTCTACAAAGTCCTGACTTGCTCTGTGATCCTGTTTTGCCAAAGGCAAATCAGTTTCTGAACGTACATAAGAGGTATTTTAACCTATAATACAAATTGGTGTCTTTAGTAAAAAATCTTACCTTAAGCTACAAAGTTTTCTGATGACTAAATCTAGATATAGTAGCTTACAATATGGGAATAATAATGATCAGCTCATGCTATATTATAATTGTGTTGCTAAATGCCCACATGAGTACCAAAAGCAGAGGCAGAAGATGGACATATTATGGTGCTATAGGGAAATAGTGATTTTTAAAAAGAAGAAATACTATTTTTCTTATTGCAAAATTTTCCTGAAAGTCTTAATATTTCAAATGAAAGTAGGAGGTTTGTATGAGTGTGAGGGATAGAAAGAGATAGGAGATAAGAGAGAATGAGAGGGAGATTTTATTGATTCTAAGACATGGGGACATGAGGAGTTTTTCTTTGCTTATTTTCAACATTTCTGATGTTCAACTTTCCTTATTAAATTTAAAGCATTTCTTTTCATAATGAAAAGCCATTCTTAAATCATGATGTATATTGATGGCATCACAGAACTAATGGAGAAAATGTTTTAGTATAATGTCAATGGCTTCTTGATATCACGTATAAATATCTCATATTATAAATATATGTCAGATTATAATATCTCCTCCTTTGTCCACTTAGAGTAAAGTAACCTTGATTTCTAACCTTATTTTTATAGTGTCAAATAAGAATTTAGCGGTGGAGGAAAGGGTGGCAGTCAACTCAAACGAGGAATCCAAGCAAGTTGCACAAGAAACATATAAGCTGGAGAAGAAAGAAGCCATGGAGGAAGATGAAGCTCTTCAGCACAGAGATGCTACAATAGAAGAAAAAAGGGACAGAGCACTGTGGGGAGAAGCGGGCCTGGATGAGGTTCCCTTTGGGGAGGGAAAGCCAACAGCAGTGCAGCCAGCATTAGTAGAACAGTTTGCAGAAGAAAGGGAGAGCCCTCCAGCCATAGAAAGTGGGGCCGAGGCAGGGGCAGAAGTAGAAGGGGCAAGAAGGCTGTGTAAGGCGGGGTTAGACCCCGCAGGAAAAGCAGCAGCAAGAGACACAGTGGATCTGAATAAAGATGAGGCTCCAGAAGAGCAGGCCTTGATGCTAACCGTGCTTGAGGCAGTGGAGGCCGCTTCCCCAGGGGAACGGGGTTCGGAGAAGGCAGCGCTTTCAAACAAGGCAGAAGCCCTGAACTTGAAGCATCTTCGGGAGGCAGCAGCAGCCCTGAGAGAGGCAGGGACACCAGAGAGGAGAGAGGCTGAGAGAGGGGCCGCTGGGAGTGAGGCAGGGTCCCAAAAACCAGATGCGGAGGGAAGTGAAGAGGAAGCATCCACAGACCTAGAGGACACGGGACCCATGGAAGACACAGCATGGGAAAGAGAGGATGGTTCTGAAGAGGCAACTCTGGAGGGAGAGGAACCAGCCAAAGAGAGGAAGGAAGTTATGAGAACAGAAACGCCTTTGAGCCCCTCAGTGGGAGAGACAGCGGTGAACTGGACGCAGGTCTCCGGGGGCAGCCCTGAAGCCCTCTGTGAGGAAGATGCAGAAAAGGAGGAGACTGTGACTGAGGCGGAATCTAATAGGGAAAACGACAGGAAAGAAATGGTACCTGAGGAATTAGATGTAGCAAGAGAGAGGAAAGCTGAGAGGCCAAAAACACCTCTGAGGGAAACCGAATCTGAGAGAGAAGAGGTGACAAGGGCAAATGAACTTAAGGATGAAGACGCTTTAGAAGGAGAGCAAAACCTTAAAGGGAAAGAGGAGAAAACAGCAAAGGAGGAAAGATCTGAGGAAGACACAAAAGCCCCCCCCAATGAAACGAAATCTGATGCTGAGAATGCAGCACCGGAGAAAGCATCTGAATTGTCTGAAGATCCGGGGCTTCTAGAACATTCACTGAGAGAGAGAGCGGTTAGCATGTTTGAAGCCACGCCTGGATTTGAAAAGTCACTGGAAAACGTGACAGTTCTCAGGAAGGGAGGAGGAGGGGGGAGACTGAGCGAAGCCGAAGACACACAGCGCGAAGGCAGAGCGGAGCTGTTGCACGGGGAGAATGTGGCCCCGGAGGAGGAGGGGAGCCCCTGCCGGGCAGAGCGTGCCTCGGGCGCTGCTGCCAGAAAGCCGGAGGGAAAGGCGCAGGCCCGCGAGGCGGCGGTGTCCACCCCAGGTGCGGTGGAGGAACCTGAGGCCAAAGCCCAAGACCGCCTCACGGGGCCGGAGGGGAGGGATGAGGGAGCGCCTCTGCAGGTGCCAGAAGGAGCGGAGGTCATGATAACGACCCAGGAAGATGCTCCTGAGGGAGATCCCATGATGGCAGGAAAGTTCGGTGAAGAAGGCGTGGATGAGGACTCAGAGGAGAAGGATGAAGAGTGCACTCTGGGGACAGGAGTGATGCAGGACAAGAACACAGAGCGGGTCTGGGGCATGGGAGGAGGAGCCGCTGCTGAGGAAGGTCTACACCGAGGAGGAGGAGTGGCAGCAGAAGCCGCCGCAGAGGAGAGGGAGGTGTTGGCAGGTTCCCTGACAGCTGAAGGAAAAACAGTAGCAAAGAAAGCCTCCTCCTTTTCAGATGTTGCTGGGAAAGAAACTTGGCACCAAGAGGATGAGTTACTAGGCAAAACAGCAGCTGCAGAGAGGCTGGCGGTGGAGGAGTTAGCGCTGCCGAGCAGGGAGGCGGTGCCAGCGGTGGAGGAGGCGACAGTGACATCAACATCAGAGGGTTGGGTGGGAGCTCCCCAGGAAGCTTTGGCCCTGGCAGGGAAGGCCCCAGGGCAAGGACAGGACCAAGCCAGAGGGGTAGCGCGAGGGCAGGCAGCGGCCGGGAGTGGCGATGGGGGGCAGGAGCCCGGAGCAGCGGAAGAATCCCAAATAGTATTATCACAGGCGAGACAGAGGCCACCGAGTAGAGACGGTCTACGGGAGGTGGCAGCACTGCCTAGGAACCCCGATTTCACTGGAACGCAAGAGAAGCAAGAGCGTATGGTGCAAAAAAGTGAGGATGCTGATGTCTCCCTGAGTGACCTGAAGGCCTAGGAAGGAGGCTTCCTGGCAGGCGGTGAGTTTAACTCTGATCTGTTTGGATGACTGAATAGAAAGCCCGCAGTGGGTCTCCTCCCCTTGGGACTGGCATGTCCCCTTTTTCAGTGTCTGAGCGCACGTAAACACATGGGCTTCAGGTCCCTGCCACTTGGCCCCAGCCGGGCAGGAGAGGGGCTGGGGAAGATGGAGCGGGGTCCCAAACCCGCGGCTGTTCCCTGTGTGACCAAGTTATACTCCGAAGCAGTGAGATCTCTGTCTCCCTGACGGGGCCTCGCAGAGGAAATACAGAGGAGATAGACCATAGAAGGAGAAGAGTCACACTTTAGTCCAGAATTCATTTCCATTTCAGCATTTGCCTTTAAATGGGCTCTATGCCTTCATTTCTGCAATTTTGTAAAGTTTAATCTATATATACCTTTTATATATGACATAAATAGTATATATTTAATATATAATTTTTAAAAATACAAATATTGAAGAGTGGAACTAAAAACCAAAATTTTTTTTTTGCAAAACCTGGGAATACCCTGAATGTCCTCACATCCTTGTTAGGTCTTTCTGGATGTTCCCTGGTCCTCGGCTCCCAGTGTCCAGAGTGAGTACTGGTACCGAGTTGAGCCGATGACGGAAAGATCACAAACACAAAGCACTCCCACACAGTTTACTACAGAAAAGGCAGAAACTATACAAACTGAAAGTAAAGAAGGAAGCTACCAAGTGAAAATACGTTCCTGAGAGAGGAACGGGGTCAGTCTCCACAGGTGGAAAAAGACGTTGAGGACTCCCAGGTGGTTTCCCTTTACTGGCCAGCTCCGGAGGCAGGCTTACAGGAGGTGTGGGATAGTACCAAATGATTATCAGGTGTTCTGCGTTTCCCTGCGGTCCCTTCCCCTGATTGGTCCTTCTCTGCCCCTAGGAACCACCCTCCTGGCCTACACCTACCATCTGCAGATTTGATCCCTACCTAACACCCTAAGTGTCTAGTTCCTACTATTTTGAGTGATTGTACCCATAGTACTACTATCCTTTTTATTATTTTTCAGGATATTTTAAAGATGTCTTCTGGAAGACATAAAGAATGGAGAAAGATTCACCCAATCATCTGGCCAGGACTTGAGATTTTATCTTTTTTTTTTTTTTTAATCACTGTGCTTGTCTGAGATGGTTCTCAGTCTGTCAGTGTTGGTCAGTAGCTCAATAAACACTCTGAGAATAGCTCAGGTAGATCTGCATGACCCTCCACAGGAGCCATGGTTCCTAATGGAGAATAGTGAGGCTGTTATACATTCTATACAGCTATATTTGTCTATATTCAAATACACATGATAGCTTTCAAATGTCTGACTTTACCAAAGATCACCAAAAGGCCCAGTCCTGATGTCTGGAGTTTGTTTAAATTCCTTTTTATTTTACAATCCATAGTCTGTTTCATAGCCCCAACCCATTCCATAGTCCTGATTTCATGTATGGGAGTTTTATTTACAAATTGTGGCTCAGGGCTTTAATGACTTGGTCTGGGAAAATGAGCTCTAAAGGTCCTTCCATGTACACTCAAGACTAAAGATTGCTCCAGAGCTCTGAGTCCTTCCAGAAAAGGACTCCATGGCATGTATATTCACTTATACTTAGAAATATTCATTCTTTTTATGTATGCCAGAAGAGTAATTTAAAGTAGAAATATTATTTCAAAATGCCCTTTGAGTTTTTGTGTGTGTTTCTATAGTTCTGCTTTCTGAGGTAGACTAGAAAAATGGTAGCTTCCAGCATTTTGTCCTTGAGGGCCTTATTTATAGGACCACTCAAATTTAAATCAAAGTAGTAAATAATTCAGCTAAGTGGAATGAGTATAATAATTATAGCAGGTAAACAGCACATCAGCACATATGCCAACAGTCTAGACTCTGGTTGATGTCATTCATGGCAAAGAAACCTGGATTAAATTAGTGTGCTGCTCACCTTCCTAAGTTCTGTTATTTCAAACCTATGAACTAAACTTGCAGTCCACTATAAATCGACAGTCACAATTACTTTCTAAATTACCCTGATATTATTTTCTATTTGTGCATGAGCCTGCCTCCTAGGAGTTTGATTTCCTTGAAGACATACCAGTGCCCCACAGGGCACTTATTTGTCTACCTTTTCTCTATGTGAGGAGGTGAAAGAATTTCCTAAAGCCGGACCACACATGAGATTTTCTTAAATGGCTCAATCCTTGGCCCCACCCTAGAGATTGAGATTTTCAGATTTCATTAGTTTTATATGGGCCTATGCACCAGTGTATACATATATTAACTTTTCACGTGATTCTTCTATGTAGCCGAAGTTGAGAATCGCCACCCTAAATCATCACATAATTCATGCTGGCCACCCTATGCTTAATGTCCCTAGGGACCAGGCATATAATTGTTTTAAGTTTTTTTTTTTTTTTTCATTTTAATGAATAATGGAGCCATTCAGTGATCAAAGATATACTGTTCTAGATATAATAAACCAGATAAAGGACTGGTCCCTTGATCAGGAACATCGGCATCACTGGAAACTTGTTCCTGGCCTCTTCTCCTACCTGTTAAATTAGAAACTGTGGGTGAGGCCTACTAATTGGAGTCTTAATTGGTTTAATCCAGGTAATTATGATGTACACTAAAATCTGAAAATTGCTGTCAGGGACTATAATTGTACTGAGAATTAGTCTCAGAAAGTAGATTTCAGAAGCATTATGAACTTTCTTTCTTTCTTTGCCTATGCCTTTGTCTCTTTTTTCTGTCTCTCTTTTGGTTTATCTGTCTTTTTCTCTTTTTTTATTTCTTTCTCCAAGACATGGTATTCACTATAAAAGTGGTGAAGTCAATCTTATACTCATTTTTATTATGATTGTATTGATACATATATGAAGTCCTCTTGTTCCACCCCTTATTGAAGGATAAGTATTACTCATTGAACATCATAAATCTCCATCACTCTTATGGTTTTGAGTGGATTGCAAATACAATACAATTAATTTCATTTATTACTATTATTATTATTTATTACTGAACTGTATTACTGTGGAGCTTTATAGTATCTGTTTGCTGATTTCAACCTCAATGCTACAGAGCATTTTGAATGCATAGCACCTTATGGGAAAGATTGTAAACTTGTTAAATCCATTTAAAAATGAGTTTTGTACAATGTGCTAAATGGAAATTGCATTGAATTATTTTTATATTTAACACATTCCATCAAAACATTCTGTAACATAATTCTTCAACCTGCATGTGGGTTTAACTGTGAAATTCAGTGTTGTGATATTTTGACTAAGTGAATTATTTCTCTGCAAATCCTATATTGATAAAATTATTTGTATGTTCAACTGAACTGATCTTCCCTAGTTTCTTCAGTATTAAAAGCATAAATAAATCATATATTTACATACACATGTGAGTGGTTCTTTGTGTATTTATTAGATTAGACTTAAATTTTTTTTTTTTTTGTATTCTTTCCTTACAAAAGTTGAACTCCAAAGGGTAGAGAAGATAGAATTAGTTTCATTGGGCTGTATTTTTGAGTACAGTCTATGTGTTTATACTGACTGCATTCATACACATCTTTCATATACATGGGGTAATGTCAGGGAGGAAAGTCACTATCACCATTTTATAGATAAGTAAATAAAAGTTCAATAAAATTAAGTAGCTTGTCTAAAATCTCAATCTCAGATCTTCTGACTCCAAACACTGACTGTTTAAATCACACACACTATTTCTATGAAGGGATATTTTAAATAGATATTAAGATACTATATGTGAACCTCTACATAGTTTTGTTCCCTTGTAGAAGGAGAAAAAAAATCAAACCTCATTCAAATATGCACTATGGGAAGAGAGTTATATTTCCAGCCAGTGTCAAACAAAAACAAAGTAGATTATTTAAATAATTTAAGAGAAAAATCAACAATCAAAGGAAACGCAGGTAGAATTAGGTTTTCTACTTGGCTTTCCCGAGGTCTGCCTTTTCTATGGCTTTATAAACTCTTGTGTTATAAATTTAAAGTACAGTTGAGTTCCTTAACCCTTATAAGATCAATAATTTTGCCACAATTACTGCCCTTGGAAAAATGATTGTTTGAGAAAAGAAAAGAAAGCCTTAAGGAAGATTCATCTAGTAAGTGAAATATTCCAACAGGCCCAAGGACAGCCCAGAAGAGGCCATTTCTGACCTTGGGTAATATTTCCTCACAGTCTTCTGTACCACTCGATTATGTCATTTAAAAAAATTCCCTGTCACCATGGCCAGCAGCAAGAGGTACAAGAGAACAGGAAATAAATACAGCTGGAATTCTTTACAAGTTGCTCTCAAACTCACCCTTCTTTTTTTCTTAAGGTTTTTTTTTTTTCTTTTTTCTAGTATCATGCCCTGTGACAGGAAAACTGTGCTCTTCAAAATATCTAGAAACTAACTCTGTAAGATAAAATGCTAGATATTTGAGACTGCCCACGCCTTTTGTAATTTCTTCCAGAAGTTTCAGGCTGTTTAATCTGTGCAGCTCTTACAATATTTTGGAATGTTGCAATACCCCAATTTTTTACTGGGGAAAATGAATTTCACAGATGATTTTTGGGACAGAGAAGCTGGTGCCAAAGTCTGCCTCCTTTGTCAAATGTTTCCTAGTCATTATTAAATATCTACCTCTTATTAAAGGTTATATTAAGGACCCATAAATTATGAGAGAAATCTTACAGTTGTCCAGGAGCTTGGTACTAATGTGACACAGAGACCTTGAGTGTACTCCTGAGAGAAGATGAAACTTTTCATGGCAAGTTTACAGATGCTTGGCCTCCATATGCACTTTTTCTGAAAATGGACTGGAGAACTAGCCTCAAGCAGTCAAGGTCTTCCCTTTTGCCAGTCCCCCACCTTTCCTCATAATAATGGCCAATTCTTCATTCACTTACCAATTTTACTGTGATGCAATGGCCCCTAGAATGACACAAATGAGACAAAGGAGCAATGTGAAA